AGCGCAGCAAGGTGTTGCATGCCCTGGTGCAAAGAGGAAAGTTGTTCCATCCTTACCGAGGATCAATCGTAACGAATCAGGTGTAGATTGAGTACAAGTGCTACCAAGTGCAGCGGGGCTGCCGCAGCTTTGCGCTCCGAGGAAGCGTAAGTTAGGTCACCGACCTCTCGTTCCATGAAGTACGACTTTAGCGGATCACAATTCGCTTACTCCGATGATAATTATGGCCTTAACCTAAGCCTAATTAACTTTTTTGGTTTATATTCAAAACTGACTTTATTTATTTTATCTGTGGCAAAGCCGCCTAATTTATAATGTATAGATATCCTAAATGTGTATAGTAAAATTTAAATAGATGTATAACTACTGGCTATCCAGCCCCGTACCGTATTCTTGTTTGGGTGTGGTCACACGAAGCCCGTCTGGTGTGGCACACACCCCTGTTACCAAGGTATGTGTAACCCCGTTTCAACGTGGCTCGAAGCCCAAATAACACATTAAAATACCCAAACTCAACTGGCATGCTGCGTGTTGCCAGTAAACTAACTAAAGCAGTCAACTTTTGAGTCTTGGAAAGGGTAGGACGTTGAGCATCTTAACTTGCAAACCGTCTGACCAGCCTGCTCGACTACATCCTTATTTGCAAGTTTCTGTCGTTCGCAAAGCAATCACTGGGCTCGCATAGAGCGCTTGGTAATCGACAATCTGGCTTTGTGAGATTTCATTTGCGACGTTTCTTCAATGTCGATCAGCTGATCATCAAATTGTTTTTTGCCCTCGGCAAACGCAACATTTACATCAGCGCCTCACCACTTCAAAATGCTCTCTTCTTCTCACTTAAATATCTTGTACCATAATTCTTACCGAAACGTTCTTTCTGCGATATAAATTTGTCTTCGTTAATGTGCCCAGTACTGATCATAGTCGCGCGATCCGTTAAACAATCTCATCACAAATTGTCATAATGTTCAAGAAGCTTCTCGTTCGCCTCTATGAGCGCCAAGAATCAATGGTCGTTGAACGGTCTGTATCGCTGCCAAAGTCATCTTGGTCATCACTGGAAAATAAAGCTGCCAAACAAATGATAAGACAAGGGTCCGACGAATTGAATAACTCGACAAAGTAGTGATTAGCGCATTAAATGCTGAATAGAACTACCCAACCACAGGAGCCACCTGAAGCACGGAATGTGGAGACACTAAAGGCATGGTAGAGTCAAAATCGAGAAGCTTATCTTATAAGAGATCAGGCATCACGCGCTGAGTGCACGACGC